TAGAGCATTGACTTTCGGTGCTCCCCCAGTGGCACAGAAATATTATATAATATTTGCACAATGTTGTACAATGTTATGAACATCGAGGAACACTGAATACCGTAACAAAGTATGGTATTGTATGTATGAGTATTTCCGAGGTACTAAATTTTCACAAATAATATAAAACAATGTTTATTTATAAAAATCTTCATTTTAACTCAGGATATCACTCGATTGGAGGTTTTATTTCAAAAAACACCACTGAAACAATTTTTATTTAAGATGGTGAATATTATATGATACTATTCAATACAGCGAAAACGATATTATGAGTTTTACATTTATCAGCATTGTTCAATATCTTAAGGTGAAGTTATTCTTACCGCCGACAGATGGCAGCATTATGATACTGCAACACTATATTAATCAACGTTAAATCATATATGCAAAAAATATTTTACAAAATGTTGATTTGAATAATAATGTTTACACAATCATTTTGTGTTACTGTATATAAAAGGCGAGCCGGATTCTCTGTGAAAGAGCATCGTGGAGCAGGTTTAGCTTCTTACGTCAAAAGAAGATAGCCGTTTTTTTTCCTACTAATTAAAGTGTTGCATTCATTCTTAACTACCAATTCAAATGTTTTTTTTAAGTTAGGAATATACGTTAGTTTTGTTTCTGATTCTTAATTGTTATTTTTCCTTCATTTTTTAATAAAAATTTTCAGGAAATTAAAAAAAAAATGTTCGGAAATGTGTTCGGATTACCCGGAATTTCGGAATCCTGGGATTCCACTGTAACATGATCTCTGATAGGTGCTCGAATTCTCCGAGCTCATTAAATCCGTTGACTAGACAGCTGAGACGATCACAGCATTCAAATGCCACCGGTAGGTGGAGCTAGCTGTGCGGCAGTGCATCGAAATCTCAGTCCGTCTACTAGGGGAGAGTGGGGTAAAACCGGGTAGTTTGACTTTTTTTTATAAAAAAAAGTAATGAAACTATGACTTTTCTGGAAAGATATATTGTATTCAGATAAAAAAAATGACTATTTTAATAAAATTTGACAAACTCTATGTCGAATAGTTTAGCTCCAACAGGCCTTCGAACCTTAGCTACCCGGTTTTACCCCACTTTCCCTATGGGTATATATTTTCGAAGAGAACCTTCGTGCGTGAACAAAAAATATCTTGAATTTTTGAATAAATTAAAATGAAAAAAGTTGCTCCTGTTTCAACTTTACGAACACACATCTTAAAGATCCAACTGTCTTAAATACATCTTTTTATAATTTAATAGCCATCACCAAGGATTGAGGTAGCTCATTTAATGAGAGCAAAGGAAATCGATTCATCTTATCCTCCAATCTCGGACAGTTTCCTGTATAAAACTGATTTTCAAGCCCTATGAACATGTTAAGGTTCAAATTCTTTTGTACAGAAGCAAGTTGCTATTTATAGACAAAACCATTTTAGCAACTTCCCAACTACCAAATTGTAAGGAATAAACGAATTGCTATGTTGCCCAAAACAAGAGGCTTAACCCTCTGACTGTGTAATATTTTTAAATCACTATTTAGATGCAACGTTTGCAAACGTGTTCAGATACCGTTAAGACAAGCGAGTTGTTATCTATCTATATGCAAAGCTTTATCAGTATAATAAGATCCAACGCTATAAAAGTACTGAGTAAACACATTAGCCTATGAAAATCGCAGGATAAGCAGAAAATAGACTTGCTTCCAATCCTCGGAAATCGCGGGATAAATAGTCATAGGGTTAGACACATTGTGGACGATATAAGAATTAAATAGAAACACAGAACAAAAGGTAGTATATGGTATAGCTAGGATAGATAAACTAAATATGATAAAAGCAGTAAGTGAGAATACAGGTATCTGTTATCTACAGCATTACAGGCATCTGTTAATGCTAATTTTTTAATTTGGTGGGCAGAACAAATTCTAGGATGCATTATGAATATTGGGTAATTTTAAAAGAAATGTCAATAAAGTATTAATATATTTTTTTTAACCAAGAACCTTTTAAAATATAATTGTCTTTGAGAAATAAATTGTAATTTAAGAAGGACACGGTGAACGGAATTTCTGGAAAGTTATTATTGATATGAATTATAAGTTCGTCTGAATATATTAGTTGTCTCATGTCATTAAATACAGAAAAGAAATTTTTATTTCAGATTGCACCGCCGGAAAGATTCAAAATACATGATGCAAATCAGTGAACGAGTGGGAAGAGGCAATGCAAAAGAACAATATGCTTACATCTACAGGCAAGTTTTTCCAACTAAATTTCAAATATTCCATGGATGGTTTCGATCGAACCAGAAACTTGGATCTCTGTGGCCTGGTGAAAAGGTCTCGCCTTTGGGGTTGGAGGCTTCCAGGTTTCAAACCCGATACAAAGAAAAAAAACGCCGTGCATGTGGACCTGATAAGTATTAGATCGGATGTCGCCGGTCAAACATCCTCCCTTTGGTATGATGTAGAATTTAGGAGAGGTGGATCCTGGCTTAGGTGTCATCTTCACCGTCTGACCACGGTTCCAAACTAAGCTGTCCGTCCTAAAGTAGAAGCTCTCGCACCCCTTGCTTGAAAACGGGATTATAATATAACTAAACTAAACTAATTCGAACTTCAGATGTTCCAAGTTATTATTGCAAAACTGGAAGAATAACTAAAATGTACGATTTATTTAAGTTTTTTATGCAGATAAATCAACTTTCCAAGTCTTATTTTCTTAATTCTACTTTTTGCTACTACTACGTTCGAAAAGTGTCGAAACTTTCGAAATATTTTTCAGATTTAAATGAATTAAGCCATTTTCTGCAGAAAAAGTAAAGTACTATTATGTGACCGACAAGTCAGAATAGGTTTCATCCAATTTTAATACTTACAGCGCATGCGCGAAGCTCGAGATTACAGGTATTCAAAACTTCCTATCTTAGATAAAACCAAGTCGCGAAGCTTCCCACGATCCTACTGATGTCAAATTACTTGTCAAAAATCACATTCCAGTACTTCCACAACCAGCTTATTGCCCTGATCTCTCCCCGTGTGAAATTTTCCTCGGATGGAAAAGCAATTCTCAAATTCCGAAGAAATGCAGCAACGAAGACGTTGGGGGAGGTGACAGAAGTTGACCCTCAATCCACATTACATTTTTGTATGAAAGATGGCAAAAATGCATAGTTGCACAGGGTAGTTGCTTCGAAGGAAAGACCAAATAAGTAGCTTCTCTCTGTAATTATTCTTTGGTAATAGAATAAGTTCCGAAACTTTTTGAACGTAGCAAAGGCGTCCTCTTTTAAATCATTATCCCTTTTGCCCCCTCCCCTTTCTTTTTTATATTTGGATGACAATAGCGACAGTACTCACATACCGAAGCTATCTAGTATTGCTCATCCACCTATAACCTAGAGAGAAGTTACGACGAAGTGCCGTCCTGACAATGACGTTATCTCGAAAAAGTCACGTGATCTTCCAACCGACGCTACTGCTATCCCAATGAAAAAGCGGTTTTATTATATACACGCAGGAACTGCAGACAGTTCTCAAGAAAAAGAATATGTAGGCCTTTCTAGGTTTCTTTTTTCTCTCCACCGAATCAGATCGGCAGTAATTTAGCCAATCTTCTGATGGCAATTTTCGTTTCTTTTTTGATTACGGATTGAAAAGAACTTTGGAATGGATAGAGGATAATAGCCTTTGTAGTTGAAAATCCCCAAAACCCCTTTTTCAAATCAGTTCTCAAATCAATCCCAAAGAAAACAATGAGAAAAATATCAATATCTATGTTCTCGAATCAAATATACAAGCATAATAGCTTTGAATCCACTGAATCACAGCAATAGCACCTAATGTATAGCGAATAGTATCTAAACATCACTGCGAGATATCCTGATTGTGGAGGCAACATTATTTAATATAATCGTTGATTTCAAGAACATCGCTAATTCACGATCAAACGTTATTATTTTCGCAAATTCAAATGAATGAACATCGAAAATAAATTCCTAAAATCAGGATAGGAATCTTATCTAAGAATGAAACCGCAAAATTGATAAAAACGTCTTTTCGCAATAAATGGCATTCGTCTTGTCATGTGACTTCACAATGTATCTGTTTGTGTGTGGGCGCGTGAGTATTTTATTATATTTTTACATGATGCACAATAATTACATAGTACAAAGATTAAATTTTTGTGGTTTAAGTACAATTTTTATTTCCCGTTTGAGTGAAAATAGTGTTGAAGAATATAAGTCCGAGTTATGTCCAGTTCGACTTACGACTTGTCAGTCGGAACGGAACTGTCTTAGTAAGTCGAGGAGATCCTTTATTAACGCATTAAAGAGAAGTTACTGTAGTCTTTATACCGGTGGAAAACGAGAAAAATTTGTCTGAAAATTAGCATAGTCAAATTGTTTTTCCATTTCGGAAAGTGGAAAAAACAAAACTTTAAATGTTCTAAAATCATAATAAGATGCATTCTAATAATTAGTTTTTCAATTCTTTTTGTCTTCTTTTCATGTCTTCGAGGTCTTTTTTTTTCCTTTTTTTTATTTCCTTATCCTAGTTATGAAATATGCAGATAAAAAAATGCATGAAGTAGACACAGACAAAGGAAGCCAAAATTTAAGATTTCATTTGGAGAATTCCGCCTATGAATAAATATGACTGTGCAACTAAACAGGATCTGAAGAAAGTTGTAAGAGAAGAGTGGGTCAAAATTGCAGTTGAGACAACCCCCTCCAAAAAACCTCCTGGTGGAATCCATGCTTAAAAGATTGCAAGTTGTAATCCAGCGGAATGATTTGCAACTAAATATTATTTATATATATCATGTGCAACTAATTTGATTTTTGTAACAAAATTAATGAAAGCGTATACTCAAATTCGTGGCTCTGTCTGTTGTCTAAGTGTCATATTTATTCAATTTTAGAAAAAGATATTAATTTACGACGGCATAACTTTTTCTTCACATGAGTTTATCAGCGTCCCATGTAGTCTAGTGGTTGGGATTCCTGCCTTTCACCCAGGCAACCCGTGTTCTATTCCAGGCATGGGAAGCATTTTTTTTCAGTGCCTTACACCCTCTGGTTAGGCTGTGCCGGAGTGGGCAAATAAATAAATAAAAGGGATGATCAAGAGAATTAACAGTAACAGAAGTGATTCACATAAAGCAAAATTTAGCCTGTTAAGTAAAGACATACATTACAGGTTTGGGTATATTCTCAAATTTGAGACCCAGTGTATGTTCTACGGCAAGAGCCTTAACTGACTCGACAATTCTCCAGAAATGTGGCTGAAAAAGATACCTGCCTTCTTTCTACGCACTCTTTCTTTTCTCGCATTGAAATCAAAATCAAAAATATTTGTATTATTTTCTGAGATTCAGTCTTGTTTTCTTTTATGCAGGAATGACAAATTCAAGTTTTTATCAGGCCACACTTTTCCTGATCGCAAAGATGACTTCATGAGACCTCCGTACATCGCCCACTTCGCAACACCCACTCTGAGTAAGGATCTGTCAAACTCATTTAGTTCCCGCTAATTTACCAACTAATCAAACGTCTCTAGAAAATAAACTAGTGACCAAAACTGTCTAAATCTTCTGGAAATTTTTTTTATGAAGTTTGATGTTCGTTTTCTCAGGGCACAACTACCTTTTCGAGCAATACAATAAAATCATGTATCATCAGAAAGATAATTTAATATAAATTGTGATATATTAAATTTTATGAAGGAATTTTTACTACTATAACAATAAACTTAAAAATGGCAAGTGAAACAGACAGCGAAAATGAAAGATGCAATAATTATCACCATGTCAATTAACCACTTGATCAACAAATTTGTTTAACCTCCTAATTGAAATACACATCCCATTTGGGTCATTTATTATTTTTTCAATCCTTATAGGAATGTAAAGGACACCCGAGATATTTAAGCGTGTCCAAGTGATTTTTGTCTTTAAAATTAATTGATACTTGGACTGTCAAAAATTCAAAATATCAAAAATTCTGCAATTTGATTAAATTTTGGAACACTTTTATTTCTGTTTTAACTGATCAGCTTCTCACCGATTATGGACCATCACGCACAGTGTCACTGAACAAATTTGTTCTCAAAATGTTTTGAATATGTACATTTTATAATTTCTTTTACTTTCAGCATATTCATTTGGATATGCATAAATGTGCATAACTGCAACGCACAATGGCATTAACTTTACTTAGTGAGAAGGTCTTTTATGTACCTGATTTTAAAAATATAAGATTTCATCATCATGAGAAAATTTGAATTCATGAGTGGCACCTCCCGTACACACATGCCATAGGTTAGGCTATGATTAAATAATAGTTGTAGTGGGAATCGTGGTGTCTGATTATCAGCAGATCTACTATCTGTATCTAAGACTTTGTACTGTATTACCGCCAGACACCAGACATGCCTGTGGCGGGCGTCATGGAAACGGATATTCCACTGCAGTTTGGGGGTGAAGGAACGGACTTTATTTCATTTGGCGCAGATAGAACCGCGGACGTCTCGCTTCGCTTTGTACTACAATCGAAAACGAATTCTCGCCTGACGAAGTGTGCTTTGTTCGCCAAATGTTGAGGTTAATTTTATACCCGTTTACCTCCTTTCTTCGACTCGTCTACTTGCGGCAAAACTGTCCAGGGTTTTTCTCCTGGCGGTAGGACAGTAGGAAGGATCGCTGGTCGTAACGACAGGTCACTTGACCCCTACAAAATCTCGTCCGTAGCCGATAATCTGAATGTCAAGGAAACTGCTATACGCAGGAAAGGAAAAAGAAGAGACAGCGACAAGTCGTTATCTATTCCACAGTGTGCGTCCTTGCGACGATGCTTTGTTGCTTGTAAAGAGATTTTGTTAGTGTCACGCGGCTTCCTATTGCGACCAGCGATTGACCCTGTGTAAACAGGGTCTAATAGGACATCTAAACAGTGAAAAGGAACACTCAAGAATTGGCAAGTTAAGTGGATTAACTTCGTAACCTTTCTCAGAGAGATTAAAGGACGATCGTATGGGAAAATTAGAGGATAATGTCGTAAAGAGAGTAAGTTTAGTGTTTCTGAATTCATCAAGGAAGTCGTTCATATCTGAGTTGCTAAAACAAGTATGAGGTGTCGAGAGTATTTGAGAAAGTGCTTCTTGCGGTTGCTGCCTGACTTATATTTAATTCTTTGTGTTTTCAAATTAAAATAAAGTATTTGATAATGAATCTAAGTTTTTGCTGTTTCTCTTGGGAGATTCAAAGATGCAAAATATGGATCTTTGCTCTCCTTGGAAAATGGTATAAGAGAATTTCTACACTATAATAGGCCGACAAGATCGATCGACTTTACTCCATTAATTTATATTTTCGACCAAGTATTGCTCAACCCAAATCAACCTGAATTCTGAACAGGAATGCATGTGAACAAATGAATTTAATGATCAGCATATTAATTAACTTTAAAAAAATAACAAAAACAATACTTAAAAATCTATATTTTAGTGCATACGAGTACAAGCCCTTTTGTCAAGGCATAAAGAAGCCTTCTTATTGTGTTAGAATATTGTTTTTGTTAGTGATTTTTGAAATTTTTTAGAAACATGTCATTTAAACAGTGGGTTATAATGTCTCTTCTTCAAAGATTAAGTTGTTTGCTTTATTTTTATTTATTCTTTGATTTCCTCGGAAAGGGGACTTGGACTCGATGATCTTCATCGGAATCCATACACAGCCGAAAAACGCAGCCAACGAAACTAGTGCTATGGCCAAAGTATACGATTATGCTGTAAAGACTTTTAAAGTGAAGGTAAGCATACGATTCGCAAAAATGCAATAATTAGAAGACATTCTTTATATTTTGCACAAGCTATCTTTCTTATACTCTTGTGCAGTACAAACAATTGTGATGATGTGTTAAAAGAAAAGTTTTACTGAATGCTCATTGAAACTATCATAAATGAATGATTATCAAATAAATTCCTAATTTTAAGTATCAGCCTGTGAAACTAAGTTATCTCACAATTAAGCAGCATTTTAATAATTATTTCGGCGTGCAAATGTATAAGGAATTCCAAATGAATGAAAATAAAATTTATTTCAAACAATTGCGCTCCGTTTGCTTCACAACTACCTGAATTCCACGATGATCGTGCAAAATTTTCGTGATCATACAAAATTTTTATTTAAACAATTTAGAAGTGCCTGATAAGCATTTATATCCATATTTAGTCTTAGTAGTTGTATTGTCGGAATAAATTTCTGAAGTGGTCTGCGTGGCACAAAGACCTGCAAAAATAATTTTATTTTATGATTTAGAAAGGAATTCGACTATCCCAAATGGAAAAAATCAAGTTTAATATACGCTTTGTTTTATCTAAAACTGAATTACAATTTTAATGCACATATCAAAACACAGTACAATATGTTAAAAAAACTGTAAAAATTAATTCAAAATATTTTTGGGAGATTATTTTCAAATTTTAGCTGGGTTTTTTTTTTCTCAACTTGTGTTTTCATTGTTATTTTAGAAGAAAAATATGAAAATAGAGAAAAAAAGAATTTTCTCCCAGATGTTTTCATGACGAAACTATTATAAATAATGCATATTTTCGAGTTTCATGACTTATACAAAGACTTTCTTTATTTTCATTCGATGTCAACATACATAGTGTCTCACGCAAATGTACAAAACTGAATTCATAAAAACTTAATTTTTGAAAAAATTTAGAGTACGTCCGCTTTTTCCTTTCAAAACACTCCTCATCTGGAGCACTACAGTTGCCAAATCTCCGTTTCTATTGTTCAAAATATCTCTGGTAGTTCTCAGATGTCAGAATCTACAGCTGCCTCTTCTTTTCGTGTATTGTCGGTTCAACACTGTCTCATTTTCACTGTCCCAAGACCATTTTACATTTCAGGAACAAAAAGAAATCAAACAGGATTGAATATGGTGAGTTATTTAGCATAGGGATAGGATTACGGCCAGAAACTTGAGCACAATCACAGTGAATGTGCACAATTCTGGAACGATTTTTAAACGCAAGCCCAAATATTTTATCAAAGGCGTGCGAATAAATTAATTTTTTTAATTTAGTTCATCAGCAAATCTCTAAAAGATTTTTTTTTAAAAAATGATTCGTTCAAAGTTTTGCAGTTAAAATATAGAAAATTAATAATTCCATTCAAAGAAATTTTGACCAAGTAATTTACGCTTAGACAGGAAATTCATTTTTAAAAATGGAACCGTGTATGTTTAAAAACTATTAAAAATATTCTAAGTCGAATTGGATTATTGAAAATTGTAAATCTGAAGGAATTTCTGCAAAAATATAGTGCACACTTTAAGAGGCTAAGGACTAGTATGAATTCCATACTTCTCAGGACGCCATGCTGATGGGAGACATGAACGCAGGGTGCGCCAATGTGCGGATCTCCGACTGGGACGCCATCGATGTGTGGCGCAGGAAGGAGTTCAAGTGGCTCATCACACACGACTTCGACACCACGCTTTCCATCAACTGCTGCCCTTATGACAGGTATTCACTTTGTTTGATTACACAGAAAGAATACTGAGAATTTAATTCAGATCCCATCACACAGGGTTATTACAAAATAATTATCAGATTTTGAAGTGATGTAACTTTAAAAATGTTACCTGCATTCTTCAATGATAATCGAGAGAAGAAGAAGCAGATGTTAGAAATTTATTTTAATACTTTCAATTTTTCATGTGAGCCACTAGATACAATGCAAACTCATTGTCGCGTTGAGCTGTGAAATGAAAGATGTTTATTGTATCAAGAGACGCTGGATTGGTCTATGTGATGCTGACAACGTAGCCCTTTTCAGTTGCCTCCGCCAGTTTCCAGATCTTACAGTTTGCTATTTCTTCCTCTGATTGTTACTCTAAATACATGTCCTACGTGCCACCATTGTTAGCAACACGAGCACCAGAACAGTATTAAAAATGATATGCTTCAAAGTCTCTTGGGAGAATTGGATTACGATAGAGATGTGAATTACGTAAAGAAAGGAAGATATTTAGAA